TTAAATTCTCAGGATGAAGAGGGAAACACATCTTTCACAGCCGAAGCGGCAGACAAGTAATTAAGGGTGTTCCTTAAAGTTTCCTTCTCTCTTTTTAGTCTGGTCGCAGTATCTTCCAACTCCAGTAAAGCCTGTTGCTCTCTGGGCGCACCTTCGAATGTACTCCCCACAAAAAACGAAAACGGAGTTGGAAATTGGTTCCTCCTCAAATCCAGCGCTTCCTTTTCCTGTTTCCCGTTAAGCCGGTTCGATAACCGAATCACGTCTTTCATGTAATTCTCCACTTCGTTGGCCAACCCGTCCAAATCTTCAGAGCCGGAAGGTCGGTCTTCGAGCCAATTGACTTCCGCGACGAGATACGGCTTCTTGCGGACAACGTTGGCGATACGGAACCGTTCCTGGCCTTTACATATGAGGAAGAAGCGGTCATCGACGAGACGTTCGTGTTTGACGATTTCGCCGACGCATCCAACGTCTGCGGTGCCGGTGACGGAGTCGGAGTAAATGACGCCGAAGCGAAGGTCAGTGTGGAGGAGAGTGTGCATCATAATGCGGTAGCGGAACTCAAAGATCTGGAGAGGGAGGATGGCGCCGGGGAAGAGAACCAAGGGGAGAGGAAATATAGGGAGCTCTTCGACGTCGTCTGATGTTGGAGGATCGGTGTGGTGATTATCGGAGAAAGAAGAAGCCGAGCAGCGGAGAGAGTTGAGCCTTTGATACCTGCGCGATTGAGAGAGAGAGGATGATTTCAAAAAGGGCTTAAAAATGGGGTATGGGTTGGCTGCCCGATGGTTTATCGAAGGTTGGTGAGTGAGCGAAGAAGAAGAGTGGGAAGGGATTAGCTGAGGGAGAGCCATTGAAGAAAGAGCAGAAAGTGTTTGAAGTTTTGCGTAAACGATATTAAAAATGGAAATATTAGCTCCAGTTTCCCATTTGTCGAATAGAAGGAAACCAGTAACTAATGTCTATTATCATGGCCCCATGGGAAGGACATTTATTTTTCTCATTTCATTTTGTGGGCCGTCTCTAAAGAGCCTGTGGTCTATGTGTTGTGAGAGGAGTGGATAATATTGTGGGGTAGCATGGAAATGGAAATGTGGAGCGAAGAAGCCCACGTCGGACTTATTTTATCTGGATTTTGTGATGCATTTTTTAAATTTTTGGATGGGGTTTGAATTTTTGCATTCAACAATTGTGGTAGTGGTGCATGCTCTTTCATCTTTCTTGGGTCATTTTCAATTCCAATGCAATAATTGGGATACTGACCAATAATTTTCATACCTTCATTTGTTTCTAAATTTCTTGAAAATAATTATAAATAATCTTTTCTAATATTATTGAAATGATTATTGTTATATTGTTTCGTTGATGGTTGAATAATTAAAATTATATGGATAATAAACTAGAGTCTCATTATCAATGGTTGACATAAAGAAAAAAAAAATTATGTTAAATTTTGAGACGAATTCTGATTGAGATTAACCTAAACACCAATTCAAGAATAGATGTGAATTCTTCAAGAAAAATAACCATTTATCTCAAGTTGACACCCCCATAGTATAGATCACCAATAATCAGTGTCTTACCTGCTATACATCAATATTGATGCAGTGAACGTGGATTAAACTTCACATCAAGCTGGACAATTTATGCATGATTTTTAACTTTATTCTGAGTTTCTACTTATAACTTCTCGTCACAACAAACAGTCAACTAAGGCTCTCACAAGATTATTGCAAGTAGAGCTCAAACAACTCCAAGAGCAATTCAAAGCTTCTGAAGTGCTCCACCCGTAGCAATGGATACTCTAAGAGCTTCTGATGAACTCAAATGCAAAATCTCACCCACCACATAGTCTTGAAGATGGATGTGGATGAATTTAAGGTAGCATCTCTTATGTTGCTTCTTATAATACATTGTGCGATTAACTTTTGATTTACCTAAAACTTGCCTGAAGCAAAAGATCGTAGAGGTAGTTATTTACTTTATTGATGAATTTATGGTTTTGATTAGATCATACTGTGGCCAAAGATTGGGGTGTGGAGGCCACGCCAACTTTAATTTACTGCTAAATAGTTGACAAGACAGTGGGGGGAAAGGAAAGATGAAATCGAGCAGAAAACAGCCATGTACTCCGCTTAACTTGGTGCTGAAAGTATGAAATAAAAGTAGTCCTTGTTTGTTTTCTGAGCTTAGAATCCAGTGCACTACACTGAGCTTCCCAATCAATGGAAAATAAAATCTGGAAACAATAATGTTTCATTTCTTAAAATCAATGTTGAACAATACTTTTACTAGTTTTCACCCACTACTTTACAAATCATTCATACATGATGAATTTAATGACGGTTGCCTAATGCAATTAAACAATAGTGACACTGGAATATCTTCTCCACCTATATCCTTACTCATTTTTCTTCTTCTTCTTCTTCTTCTTCACAGCTTCCTGACTTGTGATGTTGTCTAGGTAATGTTTATAAAACCAATCTCCTCGCAAGAGAGATTTTTGATGCATCTCCACCAACCTCTTCAAAGACTACCAACAAATTTCATGTTGGCATGATCTCCACAGGACACCACACCCACTATTTTGATACTACTTTTTAAGTTAAAGCTTGAATAATCTGAGATGTTTCACCACAAACGGCCGAGAAGAAGGGAGATGCACTAATTTAGTCTCATCATTATTTGTTGCCTTGATTGCAAGATGGAATGCAAACTATAGCGTTTTTGACCCCATCTTCTCCTGTTATTCTGAGTCCCATCGGTAAATGGCCCAGCTATATTAACTTCCATACTGACCCACAAAAGTTGAAACTTGAACGGAGAAATTAGAAATATGACCAGAAATCGAGCAGTTCAGTTGAGAAAAGGGACGTCTTGCAAGTCTTATCATAGTAAGTGTCAGGGGAAAAAAGCATGATATATATTGTGTATCATTGTTTTAGAAACTCATGCATAAGATTCAGAGGTAACCAGGGCACACTGCGGACTTAACCAAAAAAATGAGCAATCAATCAAAAAGTAAATCATAGGCACCAATAGATAACATGAATACAAAGGAAGATGCACAAATGTGAACATGTTTCAAGCTCGAGTCCATTTAGATTGCAGGAGGTAGGAAAAGGTATACATACATATAGGGCTTAGATTAGTATCCGCGAGCGTGCCTATTCAAGAAATGACAGATTGAGCAAACAGCATTAATGGCACTTGTTAATGGATATATCAAAATGAACATGCATTCTTATATGTTGTTTATACAAACCAATTATTTAACAACTCATATAAAGTGTATATATACTTCTATTTTATGTAAAGATAATTTAGATATAAAAATATAAAAACTATTTTCAAAAATAAATTCAATAATTGATATAGATCAAATATAAAATCAATATTTTATTAATAAATGAAAGAAAAGCTAAACTAGTTCAAATTTTATTCATAATACTTTACATCAAAGAATATTTTATTTAAAAAATATGAAAAACCTAATTTTGAATGGACTTTTAAACTTGGACAGATGGGATCTAATTTGAAGTAAATAAATATTTGAAAATTGAAGATTCCAGAGTAACAGTTTAGACTTTAGAGACGAAGAAATGCTACATACAATTCTAGCAAAAGGATTTTATGATGGGCATGTGTTTGTGTTCTATCATTTCTCCTTCACCTTTAATTTACGACATCAATTTCCCATGGAATTTTAATCTTAATCGCTCTGGTGGCCCTCTCAGTTTTTCTACTCACAGCAATAATAGGAGTATTGTTGCCAGGGTTGCTCAATGAGGATACGAAGTGGATAGTGTTTCGTTGCAAAGTCCGACAATCAAGGCCGAAGATGAAGAGGAAGTGGTTGATGAACACGTTAATGGAGTTGCCGGAACTGAACCGGTGGACGATACATCCAAACCGGCAATATTTTGGAAGAAGAGAGACGACAATGATGACAGTGACGATAAAAGCTTTGAGGATAGGTTCAAGCTACGAAATGGGAAGGAGGTAAAAATATTTGGATTTTATCAGTTCAAATTTTGGGGAAATTTTTTGAATTATTAATCAAATTAATTTTTAATTTCTTTGAACATTTTTGAAGAAAAAGCTTATTTAGTGGGCGTGGAGCGAAAAGGCGAGATTTCGGATTCGTTTGCCATCGAGGAGTCTCTTGAAGAGCTGGCTCAGCTGGCCGAGACTGCTGGGCTTATGGTCGTTGGTTCAACTTATCAGAAGTAAGAGTGTTGTATGTTTAATCGAATTGCATTTTCATACTCTAAGCTGAAACTTTCCACTGTATTTTTTTTTTTGCCTTGAAGGTTAGCTTCTCCCAATCCGAGGACATACATAGGATCAGGGAAGGTTGCAGAAATTAATAGCGCAATCCGTGCTTTTGAGGTTGAGACTGTAATATTTGATGATGAGCTCTCTCCGGGGTAAGGTTTGTAATAATTATCTTTGTTTAAACCTTTATTTTAGAATCTTAGTTTAGAGTGTTTTTAATGAGGGGAGTATCATCTGGGATGTCAATTGTTTGAACCTTAAGAATGTAACATGAAACCATCATTATTTTACATTTGATCTCATCTGAGTCTATAATTAAATTTCAGACAATTGCGCAACTTGGAGAAGGCGTTTGGTGGGGATGTTAGAGTTTGTGATCGGACTGCTCTAATCCTGGACATCTTCAATCAGCGAGCAGCAACACATAAGCAGCTTTACAGGCAAGCTCAGATTGTTTGTTTGATAAAAATTCGGATGTCATAGACACAACCGATATTAGATTGAAGTTGGTAAAATCTTTCTGTAATGAACATGAGCAAAAGAAGAATAATCTATACATTTGTTATTCAAATTATGATACCTTTCTAGGTTGCATTGGCTCAAATGGAATACCAATTGCCACGTCTTACTAAAATGTGAACTCACCTTGAGCGTCAAGCTGGAGGCAAGGTGAAGGGTATGGGTGAGAAACAAATTGAAGTGGATAAACGTATCTTACGTACTCAAGTGAGCAACAATTTCTGTTTCCCAGTATTTTGTAGATAAATATCTTTTGATGTAGATACTCAAAACTTGTACAGATAATAGTATTTATGGTTGTTGCAGTCTGGTTCCTTTCGATAATACTTTTTGAACTCTGAACTTGTTCCCATGAACCAACATATATGCTTTGCTAGATTGGAGTTCTTAAAAAAGAGCTTGAATCTGAAAGAAAACATCGAAAGCAATATAGAAACCACCGGGTTTCTGTTCCTGTTCCTGTCAGTCAAATAAATCAGAAACCTCATTGTTATACCTTGTGTAAGCACCATTTTCAACATCTTACCCACCATCACATTTTTCTCAACACCAACCCCCACAATCCCTTGATTCCTGCAGAAACATGTGCCTCACCCATGCTCCACTATTGTTTGTCTTTATTTCCTTTGTAATGGGTATTTAACCACCCAAAAGCAGTGTAAGAGGAGAGAGCATCGATTAGCAAAAAAAAAATCAATGTAAAACAGGGGGATGAGCCTTGAAAAATTGATACGAATGAAATTGTTGTAATCGAGTATTAAACCCCAAAGACATTTGTAAAAAGGGATTCCATTTTCTTTTCAGGAGGAAGCAATTCAAATTTAGGTACCAACTGCTTAATATTTCTTAGTGTTTTTTGTGTTTACAATATGAATATGGGTAATTAAAAGAGAGTTTTTCTTACTTATTTTCTTATGAATCTTGTTCTCGGGTAAGCATTATTTGTCTGGGTCGCCGCCGAGTGTGAGTGAACCGAGAGTAGTGGTGGAAATCGTCTGAGCCTTAGGATCATTAAGCTAGTAGCGTTGGGTTTCATAAGTTTAGATCAAAGTAAACAAAGAAGAGAAAGGGTTAAAGTAATACCAAGTATTCAGTTGTGTTAGGATTAGGGATTTACCTGGTCAAGTCTTGCGGCTGTTAAAATAAGGGAGGTCACCAGGGTATAGTGGTCGGTTGGTGGCCGATGGTGGTGTTAAGTCTGCGAAGAACCATGAGGAAGATGAAAGGGAGAACGATGGAGAGAGAGTGGAGAGGATGATGATGAGGCGGTTGGGTGTGAGTTTAGTTTAATAAGGTTAGGTTTAGTTTATTTTTAAAATAATATATATTAACTTATTAAAATGGCATTGTTTTGATAGTTGATATCCGTGTTTTGCAAACGGAGGGGTGAATTCTTTGGCTAATCCTTTAAGCTTTAAAGTATTCAACTCAGGTGCTTAAGTTTTTTAATTTCTGATTTTAGCTCCTACATTTCACGCGCATGTCATTTCGGTCCTTGATTGTAGTTTTATATGTTTATAATTTTGTTCCTCTATTTTATCCGCATTTAATTTCAGTCTTAAAACGTATTGTATTTAATTTTTTCTATTTTAGACATTATACCCTTAGGTTTTTGTATGTTACATTTTGGTCGTGGGTATGTTTGGGTTTATTATATTTTTAGTCTCTTCTATTAGTCATAATTTTATTTTAGTTTTTGTAATTGAAATGGTGAAATGTTGTTTTTTACTTCAATTGTTATTATTTTTGTAGTTGAAATGGTAAGTTTATATTCTTTATCATTTAATACCTAGTTTAAATAGTTTACTTAGTTTTTATAACTTTGCATTTTTAAGTGTTATGTTTCCTTTTATTTATTTTAGTAATATTGGTATATTATATATATATATATATATATATATATATATATATATATATATAGTGTTAGCACTAAGTATTAATATTATAATTTACATTTTATATTTGAGCCCATAGGTTTTTCTTAATTTTCATAATTTGACACTTTAAATTAGAAAATGTCTTAATTTATTTTTAGTTTAATGAGGACAAATAAAATTTTGTTTGGTTGCATTTTTTAAAAAAACTTAAGGCATTGTTCAGTTATTAAGGAATTAATAATATATCTCCCGCGATTGTGCTCAGGTGGTGACTACTAGTAATTCCCTAAATAAGTCGACATCCTTTTCAAAACTACATGTTTTTCTAAAAACGAGGCAATGTTCGGTTATTAGGCATAATAGTTGATCTCCCGCATTTACGCTCGGGGACGAATGCTATTGGTCTCAATAAACGAATATCCTTTTCAAACTTTGCATCCTTAATGATTTTTAAATTAAATAAAGATCGAACTCAAAGTTTCCGATTTTAAATATAGGGTAATCAACTAGGTACCAATTTTTGGGCGCTTGTGGGGGTGCTAATCCTTCCCCACGCGTAACTGACTCCTGAACCTGATTTCTGATTTTTTGTAGATCCCAAAACTCGATATTTTATTAAAATAAAATATTTTATTAAAATCACCCAGTTTTTACGGTGTTCTAATCTCACCTTAAATGATTAGTGGCGACTTCTCACATTTCGAAACGATTTTCAAAGAGAAAATTCCCGAGTCGGTATCGGTCTTTCCCCGCCCGGGAAAAAAACGGTGTCGACAGCTTGGCGACTCTGCTGGGGAATTTTGTTTTTAAAACAAATTAAGAGTCGAGCCACGAGTTGGTTACCATGTATTTACTATTTTGGAAATTACGAGTTCGATCTTATTTAATTTACTGTTCATTATATTATTTCAAAAAAGAAAAAAATAGATTTCACTCTGGTTAATGCTTACATTTTTGTGAATACTTAGGATTGTTGCATATCATAGCTCTAAACCCGAGCTCAAACCTGGTTTACCTAAGTAGGGAGAAACGTCACACCTCACGAGGAGCATTGGGCTTCCTTGTGTGGGTCTGATAAAGTATCTCTGGAAAGTACCTTAAGTTGCCTATCCGGATATCGGATCCGAGGTACGCTTTTAGTGGTGTGATCCCCTGAGCTGAATCTGATTCGCAAGTCTGTAACGGGCCATAATCGGGGGGCAACCTTAGCAGGTTGTAAAGATGGCTTGAGAACCTTTGCTAGAACCCAACCTCATATAGAGAATTTAGTAAGCCTATCCCGCTAGAGCCATGTGGATACTTAGGAGAACTAGAACGCATGCGGTTAGGATTATTAATTTTATTTGTATGTCTTTTTTTCAGTCTCAATTTTGAGTCATATTTATTTATTTTTGGTAAGACTACATTTATGGACTAATCTTTTTAACTAACTTAATTCTTGTTGTCTTTGTTTCTACTAACATTGGTTTCCTTTTTTCTGCTCTTATTATATATTTGCATGGACATGACATATCATTTAAAAGTATTGATCCCTAAATGACTGGTAATGTAGAAGGTTCTTGAAAAACAATACCACAACAATGCCTTTCTATGGGATCGACAGGATTTCGAAGATGCTCCATGTTAGATCGAGTAGCTAAAGGGAGTCTACCTACCAAGGAGACGAGCCGGACGTATACTTGCTGAGGTAACAAGTTGAATTCAAGAAGATTCGTCGCTGAAGCCAATAGTTGAATATCACGAACCAGCTCAAAAAGACTTATGAAAGAAAGAGGTGAGGTAGATGCATTGAATACGATGCAGTACCAGATGCTTGTCGGAGCTAGGCAACTTACAGATGGACCAGATTTTCACTTTCCCAGTGTACCGAGACATTTTCGGTTTTTTAAGAATTGTTCTAGGAACAGTTATTTTGAGATAAATGTCTTTTGGATACATTCATTTTGCATGACATTTGCATTCATCAATACATTGTCGAATCATGCATTAAACCGTTCATTCATTAAATTAATGATAACAAGATAAGGTTTTCGATCGCAGTGATCTGGGTTTACACTAGTAGCGAGAACGCTTATCATCTGCATGCGAAAGAAAATGCTTGAAGAAATAGAGGTTAAGTTAGCCAAAATTGAGAGAGAACAGAAAGAGATGCAAGAAGAAATGAGAAACAAGTTGACACAAATGGAAGCTAGTATCACAAACTCTCATCTCGATCTACTGAACAAGGTGGATGAAATGTTTAAAGGACATTTGACTGCTAGAAAGACCACTACGAAAGACCCCATACATCCTCCGGGTTTCACACATGTTCACATTCCAGAGCACACCTCTGTGCGTCAAGAAATCAGATCACCAGTCTGCTTCACAGTCGAGAACCCACAATATCAGGTCATAGCTTCATTCCCCATTGATTTTCCTGTTGCGTCTGGGCTGAAGCCAGGTGAACGTTGTACTAATATAAAGGTCTCTGGCCTAAATGAATTAGCTGAAAGGGAAAAGATTGTCTAAAGAGTGAAAAATTTAGAAGAGGTGGTAAAATCCAAGGAGATGGTCAATGAATTCTATGTGAGTAACGCAAGGGATTTAAGCTTGGTTCCTGACCTCATATTGCCCCCGAAGTTCAAAGCACCAGACTTCAAAAAATACAACGGGACCCCTTGCCTATTGGCCCATCTCACCATGTTCTGCAAGAGAATGGCAGGTTATACTGAAAATGAGAAGTTTCTAATACATTGCTTCCAGGATAGTCTGACTGGATCGGCGATCAAATGGTACAATCAGTTGACTCGATCCCAGATTAAATCATGGAGGGACTTGGCACGAGCATTTTTGGAGCAGTATCGTCACGTCACTAACCTGGTACCTGACAGGTGAACGTTGCAATACATGGAAAATCGACACAACGAAACCTTCATGCAGTACGCCCAAAGATGGCGCGATGTGACATCACAAGTACAACCCCCATTGCTGGAGAAGAAGGCTACAATTATCTTTGTGAATACCTTGAAGGCTCCATATCTGGGGCATCTAGTAGGAAATGCTACCAAGAACTTTACCGACCTAGTTATTTCTGGGGAATTAATCGAGAACGCCATTAGGAATGGTAAGATAGGAGGTTCTGATAGCACCAACGTTAAGAGAAGAGTCGATGTCAATACGGTGAGTTCTTATTCAACTAATCGTGGGGCCAAACCTTATAAAATGACCCAAGAGAAGACCCCTATTAGTGAAATTCCGGTGATATATGAAGAGTTGCTCCCAGTACTAGTTGAGAAGAATCTCGTGACTCCAGTTAGGTCTAAACCGAAAGAGCCTCCATTTCCTGAGGGGCATGATGCTAATGCAGTATGTAGCTACCACATGGGAAGCTCGGGGCATACTACTGAGAATTGTGGGGCATTGAAGTGCAAGGTTCAACACTTAATCGATTCAGGGGCATGGACGTTCGAAATATGATAGGGCATTCTGATGCAAACTGAGAAAAAAATCATTGCAGCCATTACGAACTTTTGATGCACTTTTATATTGTCTTGTTTGAATTTCTTTTCTTTCTCTTTTCGTTAAAAAGTTTGTAAATCACTTGACAATCGAACATTTTAAGTAAAATGTTACCTTCTGAGGTTATGAGCAAAGAATAATTTTCAGACTCGAAATTCTTTAAATATCCACTAGATTAAAAGCTCTTTTAAGAATCAGAGTTATAGATCTTTGATAAATTGACAATATTGAAAACTGATAAAACAAAGACCCTTGACCTTACACAGAGGAACCCTATACCCTTCTCTTACAGGACCACTATAGCCTATGACGATAAAGGCTTGACATTCAGGTATGAATAGGAGCGGACAACATAGGGCATCTCTTGTGTGAATTGCAAAAATGCCTATACTACACTTCTGTTGAAGACGTTCAGCGATGATCCTAATCTTCACAAATGGAATGGTGGAGTGGATGAATTTAGTTTAGGTCAGCTGTTTGGGAACTGAGCTCTAAATATGGAATTTCCTGACTATCAAATACACCTAGACTATAACAAGTTCTCTCGTTGAGCTTAAGAAATTCTAAATCTGAATGCTCGAAATGCTAATAAATTATTACTATAGAGCTGAGCTATTCCGCTAAAGCAATTGGTTATAGAGGCAACTCAAAAGCCCTGGCTTTATGAATAGATTACATTCAAACCATGACATTGATCGGATACTTGGCAGTTCGGTGTTTGCTCCACTGTGATTGTCAGGTCAAAGACTTTGTGACGACATGAATCCTTCAGTTAGCCCAATGAGAGCGATTATAAGGTATATACAATAAAGCTGAATTCAGCTAGTCAGACAATGAAAAATTAAATCAAATTGATCTAAAATGAGTTTCGATGAAAATGGACTAAGGGAATCAAGGAACACTTGTTATAGTCA